GCCCCCGCCAAGGGGAGAAAGCTTAGATTTCGTCATCCTCCCCCTACGCACCCACTTTTGAGAGAGAAGCGTTGCGACGATTGTTGTATGGATTCAGTGTTGGTTCGGATGACCGGGAACGCGGGATCTTGCCCGTGTTCATCACGTACCTCCGATCGTCTCACTTCGCTACCGACCTTCCCCATCACAGATGACGACAGCGTCTACTGCGATGCGGACGTACGGCGCGCGCTGAGGCGGACGGAGCAAGTGTGTTGGCAAGACCCGCCTCGGGCTTGTGAGATAAGGGGGAACGGGTTTGTGTTGATTGATCGCTTTGATTCCCCGATTCTAATATTGCCTTATACGGGTTTAACGGTGTTGCCCTGGTCGGCCGTTCACGCCGCGTGGCGACCACAGTTTGATTGTCGCTGGTGTTGCCAGGGGGACTCGTGTTCGTGACGACGGCTGGTCCTGGGTTACGAGGGAGCGACACGTTTCCCCGAGCTTTCTCGTCGTGCGGGGGCGCTGCCCGCGCAATTTCGAATTCAGATGCCGGCGAGTCCTCCCGCCGCTTTACCCTCCCGGAAACTTTCGTGCGGGCTCTATGAGCCCGACGCCGAGGCTTGAAGGCCTCGAACCAACCACCTCTACAGCAAAAGACCAGAGGGTTCAGCCACTTCGTGAGGCCGATAATGAGGCCTGAAGGCTTCGAACCCACCACCTATCCCTGGAACCCATGACGGCCGGAGTTTTTGCCGTTTGCCGCCATGGCCTCCTCCCCTTGATGCCTATTCCCGTCCCGATGCACGACGGCAATCATTTTCAGAGAAACCCTTATGATTTTATCGTTTCAGAGTAATCCGACCCCCGTGGGACTTCGCGACGACAGTTCGACTCCGAGAAAAACCTCGGCCCAGAAACGAGAGCCTCCCGTTCCGTCCGGGAGACTCAACCCTTACGGCCAAAAATCTTCGGCCACGCCCCTCCTAGAACTCTGATCGGCAACCCCGTACAGAAAGCTGCGAGGGGGCGTCAGGTTGTGTATCACAAGTATCCCTTGTACCTCTTCACCCTCTTCTGAGTGGCGCAAGATGGTAGAGGGCTGATGGTCCTGAGTGATAAACACTGAGGTAGGATAAGGTGAGTAGGGGTGCGCCAGGAGAATTGATGAGAGCAAGGGTAGTGTTGCATACTATAATGGTGCAGACCAATATTGCAATGCAGCCCTGAACATACATCATCATCATCGTTCCATGGTGTGAAAGGGGTCTGGCGCTTCACACAGGAAGACTGCGCCAGCCCCAACCATACACAGACGAAGAAGAAGGGGGTTAGACGAAGAGGAGGGGAAGATGGGAATGTTGTCAACACCAAGTCTTCGGCACAGGCCCAAATAGTCCCTCGTCAAAATG